TTGACAATGAGCTCGTGATCTTCCCATTGGTATTTGCAGGGCGACTGCGTCCACATGAGATTTTGTTGCTGGCGTCTTATTCTGTTCTTTGTGTTGTGGCTTTATATTATTTTGATATTATTGTTTCCCGTTATACCTATTCCGCAATGAAGTGATTTTGGTAAGTCGATTATGTAATCACTGTATTCAATATCGAGTTGTAATTTAGTACCAAATTTGGTTAATGATTCAATACACTGTAAGAAATTATTGCTTAAGGTTCGTCTCTTTTTCTCAGGACTCTCTTCAATTTTTGGATCATTTAGTACAGAAGAAGTGGATATATCCCCAGGGAGGTTGTATATCACAAGTACCAGAACCATACAAGAAGATTGAGAAAATTTTGAAATCTCTCGTCAAGGAGTACAACTGATGTAGTCTTCCCAATTAATAATCATGATGAAGAAAATTCATCAGATGATCGTAATTATGTGATGGTGAGTATTATTCATGGATTCAATCAATTCAATATTAAATTCATATTTCGATTCTATACATTTCTTGCAGGAAGAAGATGACAAACTGTGGTAGCAATTGAATAACGTCCATTGAGTGTCATAAAGGATAAATGGAAGAGTACATTCAAATAACGGAAACGAGAAATTACAAATGAAGAGAATTATACTGTAGATATTTTGTAAAGTTGACCACCATGTAATGAATAAACTTGATTTTTATTCGAAATCTGTATTAATTCAGTGGTACAAGAACCTGAAAAATAGTCAATATACTCATATCTACTATGCACTTTGTTGGTGAACCAAATATTATGGCTATCTAAACAAAATATAAGTGAAGGGACAAAAATTATGGTTAACACTTTGTTGTGAGATTAGAATCTGGTTGATAACCAATTTTCTTGATCAAAACAACAATTACATTCATATGGTGACTAAACATATTCAACTATTGTTCGCTGGTTGATTTAATTATTAAACGAGGTAGGCTCATTTTCATATGCTCTTTTTGGTTGATTTAACCCATCAATTTTTTTGAGTGTACCTATGCCTGGTAGATCAAGCACAAGAATATCAAAAGTGTTTAGATAAACGAAGTGAAAAAATCAATGGAGAAACTGAAGTGTTTGCATAGATGATGTCCACTTCCATTTCATGAGGAAAAAGTTATCTCGGTCATTTCAATCAGTGACGCGTCACAGTGGGTTATGGTACCATTTCGTACCATAATTTCTACGCTTATTTCTGATTATTTAAAATTTTTCGAATTCCCTGTTTTTCCTAAAGAGAGTTTTATTTATTGTGTATTAACATGTTTACACTTACCTCACATGTTTTACTAGATTTAATTTATACAATTGTGTGACCAACCTGACCAAGATGAGGTTGCACAGCATAGAGAAAAATGTGCATTCAGGCCTTTGAAATTTTTCAAATTTGTTTTTGATTATGCAGTTATATCGAAAAAAAGGATATTGGTGATTGATTCGATTGATTGATTTATTTACGCGACGTTTCGTATTGGTAGAATCATCATCAATTTTTTTTCCAAATACGTTCCTGGTTAGGTGGTCACAGATACTGTAAACATTTTTCATTCTGAAATCAACCATGTATTATACAAGGTGGTTTGAATGTGTTTCGACCTAGTTTTGGCCATCATCAATGTTTTTTCGAAATTCCAAAGACGAAATACAGCTACAGAGAAAATTGAATGGAGACAGAGTTGCGCAATTTTATGATTAATAAAATGCTGTTTTGAAATTTGGAAAATTCCGAATATTTCCGAAGATTTTTGTTTAAAAAAATGAATATTTGCGATTTTAGTTTTATTTTTTTATGACTTTATTTGAATAGATGTAACAAAACAAATAACACATTCTCATTGCTACTTCTTTTGTTCCACAAGATTATGTTATCAGAGTTTCAAATCGACGTTTCGTCTTTCAGCGCTCATCATCAACTTTGTTTTTTTTCAAATACGACCCTGGATTTCCATAGCTTTTGATCTATTTAAACCAACGGTGTATCGCATTCATTCGAAAAATTTATATTTTTGGTATTTTCAATAAGAACTCGTGTGTTAGAGACCGAGATCAGATTTTTGATAGGATCAAAAGCAAACACCTTTTTCGAATAAGTACGATACACCGTTGCTTTTAGGATATTGAAAGCTCTTCAAAGTTTTCAAATTTCAAGATGGCATTTGCGCAACTTTACCTCCATTTAACTATCTCTGTAGCTTACCGTTTCCGAGATCCTCATGCATCTACTCGAATTTCATACACTAGGTAGAGGGTGTTTGTTTTCTCTTGGAGCGCACGAAAGGAAATTCCTATGTTCGTGGATCGTGGAACATCGCGCGTACCTAGGGAGGATAAGGAGGTAGGTGTTGGATTTTTTTGAACTTTTGGAGGTTCTTATGAGTTCTTAAGAATACTTTCATTGGCAAAGATTTCCAATGCTTCGCCGTTCTATAGACGAACGAGTTTTGGTAGAGTGTTTTTCGACATATTTGGAGGTTAACGACGAAAGGATGTTCTGCTACTGGTTACAAAATGATGTTCATGTGCACTTTTTTTCATAAAATATGACGGAATCACCCCTTAAATTCCAATTGCACTTTAGATACTATCTCATAATGATGCCAGAATGATAATGATTCTTCAATTTTCCTAAGTTAGCAACTTGTGACTTGTACTACACTCTTCTATGACAGTTTTTTTGCACAGATGATGCGGACGCCTATGTTTACCCACAGTTTTCTGTTGCCAAATTTTAGGGTGCTAACCCATGTGAGTCACGGTGTTTGGATTAAATTGTTCATATGCGACAATATTGGTCGTTTCTAGGACCCTTCTAAAAGAAATGGATCATTGTCTCAGATAGTCGTATTGATAGTAGATATATAGGAATATAGGGTGATTCATAATAAGTATTGTACACAGAGCAATGGTATAAAATACTGACATCAAAATAAGACGGTTGGCAAAATATAACTTGCTAGTGAAATGTTGATGGTTGAAAAGTAGTCTCCGAAAGTACAAAATTAACTTATGGTGATATTTGTCACCTTGAAAAATTCCAAGTTACCAACATTCTACCAATATCAGTGAAGCGGATTCTGTAATATTCCAAACTAGTCAATAAATTTCACCACCTTGTGAATTGGTAATAATCAACATTTTACTAAGGTAATATTCAGCCGATCGTCATATTTTGATGTCATCAGAATTCTACCAAAAATATCAGTGGCGTGAAATTATCATTTATTTCTCACATTCACTACCTATGATCACCTTACTAATACTTATTAATTTTTAAATAATTAATTTTTCTGAAGACAAAACAATTCAACCACGTTCATTGTTGCAGTTAAAATTTCTTGAAAAATTCGAACACAGTGAGAAATAACTGATTACATAGATCCATGGGTGGATTGAAAAATATTCCCATTTCAAAATTTTACACTGTTGACGTCTTGATCGGAAAATGATAATAGTTATATAAACAAAGAACTGCAAAAAACGGCCGGTGCTGTAGCTTCTGAATCTTTCGAGGAATGATTTTGAAATTATGGTATCGAGTAGGCGGTATACCAATTTGCCTTTTATATACTGACAAATAATATTAATTTAATTACTTTCGGTTCAACCGGAAGCAAATAACCCAACTTTTCATTTTTAAATAGAACACCCTGTACATTTTGACATTTCGATCAGGAAAAGTTCCTAGTGTGTGTAAAACGGTCACGTGGATCCAAACATGAGAACATATACAGGGTGTTCTATTTAAAAATCAAAGTATGGTGTTTCTCACAATTATAGCTTGTGGAGTTTATAAGATAGCCTGTATAAAGTGACATTCAGTTCAGGCATTCTGGCGATGATCGAATATACGCTTGCGATTGCTTTTTGGGGATGTTTACTATAACAGGATAGAGATATATAATAGGCTAGAGAATAACGAAAATGGGGATTTATACCGTCACAAGACTCATGCTCATAGGCGTACGGTGTACAAATAACGAGCAATATCTTAGTGTACTGATGCCACAAGTGCTTTTCATGTCAAATAAAATATTATCCGCTTTCATCTTTATTTCGGATTTTAGATTTTATGGATACTGTAGGGTGATCATTTCAAATCTCACATTCCAACGATTAGTTTGCAAATTTTTGGACTAGTTGATCCATTTATCAGGTACCTACTTACTCACAAAGTTGTAAGTTTTTAACTCATCAGACTAATATTTTTTTCAGATGTTGTAAAGTTTGATTAACTATATCACTGCCCTCAGCGATGCGTCATGTGTTGGAAATAAATACACAGGTACACTGAGGAAGATGATGCGATGAAAGTTATTGCTAAGATATTTCTTGTTACCATTATAAGAAATCCAGTTATCTACCATTACATATTTTCGAATAGAAGCAGCACGATTGAATACCCATAGCAGCAATACCAATTTAACGGGAGGTGAGTTTTCTGCCACAGGAAAGTATACCTACTATCAGGCAGTCACTCTGGGACAGTATGAGTTTTTATATTTTTTGAGCTGAATATAACAACCAGTGAGTTGAATGTCTGTTGCTGCGAGGTTCATCGCGTAGAACTGCACTCATCAACGATTTTACACTGATAACCTACTAAAAGGACATTTAAAGAACCTATTCATTCAGCGCCAACTAATCGTTGTAAGATATTTTCCTGATTTATCCGTCTATGGGCATTTGTGAAACATTTTGCATCCCAAATACATGTTCTTTTATTCAAATTCATGTACAGGAAAGTTACGAATACTTTCTCTTTTGAATTCAATCTTATTCAATGGAAATTAGTTTTTCAAAATCTATCTTTATACCGAAAGTATCCAGGCGATAAAGTTTCGGTGCCTTTGTTGGCAGTAGGTGACTCAGATCCCGTAATGCGGCGTTGTCAATTTTCTGAGCACGGCCCGTGGCTTGGAAAGCTGTGATTGAAGATGATCGGAAGTAAACGTACCTGTTCAACGTAATAGCCACCATATTGAGTACCGAAACAGCGACGTTGCCATAGAAAAGCACCGGAAACAGCTTACACAAAGCTTCTCCTAGAATCCAGGCTTCGTAGATGTACCTGGCTGCAGTCAGAGGAAGATTGATCGAACAGAATATCAAGTCCGATAAGCACAGAGACAGAACAAATGCTGTTGTAGCGTGGACTCGGAGTTTTGGGCATCGGATTAAAGCCAATACAGTCACAGAGTTTCCTGAAATGATTGAAGATTCAAAAATATGTCGGTAGTATGGATAGAGAGGCTGAGCATGGAAATGAACACAGTGTTTATTGGACATACAATTTTTGTCCAAACGATGCTAGTACTTCAAAAAAGATCGGCCAAGAAATAATATGTATCGATCAAGAAACTCATATCGGTTCAGTACCTACCTACTTACTGATTTTTGTGAAATACAATTTCAAAAGTCCATCGAAAGAATGTAGTGCGTCTCAACTTTTATAAGCATTTTATCGAAAATAGTATATTCGATATTGTATATTCATGGATTACTAGATGATTATTTTCATGTATTTCAATGAAATGGTATAGTTTAAACCCCAATCACTATTTCAGAGATGTGAACGAAATTTTGAAGTATCAATAGTAATGTGTGTCATTGGGTATTTATGATCCGAACATAATAGGAAATATTCCTTGTGCTATTCTGCGAATCTACACATTTTTTCTCCATCAGCACATACAGAAAATCGAAGATGTGTATATCCCTGGCATGTTCATGAATATTTCAATATTACACAAAGAATATTCTCTGAATATTCATGGGATATTTGGTGCTGTCTGAATGATTTTGAATGACTAACTTTAGTGCAATACATTATATCATTCAAGCTAGGTGTTTCAGAAAGTTGATAGTGATATCCTTTTTGAGAAAATTACTGTAGAACATGGGGCAAAACGATACGGATACACAATATGATATCCATTACATATCCATTGCATGAATATACAACCAACTATTTGTAACAATAGAACAACACTTTTTCATAAATAATAAACATGGATTTTGCGAAATGCATTATCAATAGGAACACAATCTCCAAAAAAGTAAAGTATAGTGTAAAATCGGAAATTTGCCTCTCTAGTGGATCAAAACTCCCATTAGTATGGGGCAAACTTCCAATATCAATGTTCAATGAACACAAAAATTAAAATTAAAAGGGCCTTTATCCTCTATTATCATACACTGCTCGCCACCTTTCAGAACAGCTTCCACATTCGATACATTCTTCTATTGGCGGATCTATCTATTCTTCTGCACAAGCAGGACATGCAACGATTTCATCAGTTTTTTTTCTCTCTTTTTTTAGTTTTTCCAGTATTCTGTTCTTATATATTATTATATTCATCTTCACTTCTCTGAAGAATATCATCAATTTTTTTGCTTGAAATGATTTTTGAATTCTTGAGATATATGATTCATTGAAGCGGATTTTTGCCCCACAAAAAAATTTTGATGCCTCGTATGCACCTATGATAAAGTTTCCGCGAAGGGTATGACATTTGTGTGTATGTATACAAATATATCGTACAACTCTCAACATGCCAAGGATACTCTAGAAGAAATTATATCAACGAAACTTCACAAATTGCCTGGTGTAAAAATTACATGCAAACGTTTGGAAATTAGGAATTTTGCCCCGTGCGTACTTTTGCCCCATTCTACTCTAGTAATGGAGTTGCGACACCCTGTAACTTCTGTTTCTGAAATTTATTTGAATCATCAGGATCACTAAGGGACATAATCTCCTATTCATCTAGAAACTAGGGTGTTCTATCGCAGATAACAAATATATACCTACCTATAACAGTTCAATACTTTTGCCATTGTCCAAGCGTTCGAACATCTGCTAGTGTCAGGCCATCAAACCGAAGTTACCCGCTTAAATCTTATACCTATTCGGTGATGACATGATGGAAATAAATATCCTGTCTATACAATCCGTAGTTGTGCAATGAGTTATCATTAGAGATAATGTGAGTATACATAATACTATTAAGTACCAACAACATACACAGTATGAGCTACTCACTACCATTATTTGTATTTACAAATATTCTCCAGTATTTATATTCAAAGTATTTGAATTCTTCTGAAGTATCTAAAAATGCCATCGACGCGTCTGAACTGCCATCCTAAAAAAACTTTTTTTTTCACGAACATTTGTAAATTAGGCAGAAGGAACTGTTTTTTTAAATATCGCCTAATTAACAGTTGCAACTGTAAATTAGGCAGAGAAAACTTTTTTTTAACACCTAATTTACAGTTGCAACTGTGAATTAGATTCTCATGGTCTCAGCGCATCAGAATGGAAGCTGCCTATGTCTGGTAGTCTGGTGAGAAATTGTGAGAACTGATGAGACTGTGAGACTCTAATTTACAGTTGCAACTGTGAATTAGGAGGTGTTTAAAAAAAGTTTTCTCTGCCTAATATACAGTTGCAACTGTAAGTTAGTGCTAATTTACAGTTGCAACTGTAAATTAGGCGATATTAAAAAAAATTTCTTCTGCCTAATTTACAGTTGCGACTGTAAATTAGTGCTAATTTACAGTTGCAACTATGAATTAGGCAAATATTCGTGAAAAAAAAAGTATTTTTAGGATGGTAGTTCAGACGCGTCGTAAAATGCTTCTTGATCATTGAAACTATTCATAGTATCTTTCGAGATATCTTCTCAATACAAGTATTTGAGTCTTGATCAATTTGAATCCATTTTTCAAATTATTTAAAAACATGTTAGATATGGTTTGCTGACCTCTCTTCCTGGATACCTATATTGTTTGTTATATGTACAGGGTATCCCACATAACTTGGGCCACCCCCTTATCTGGTAAACTATTATATATACAGAAAAAAGTTCAGAATAAAAATTGTACTTATCACTTCTTATGACATTTAATTTATAGATACTGTCATTTATACAGGATGATCCATATGTCTGTGGCATATCACAAATACGTTTTTTCAAATGGAACACCCTATATTTTATCATATTTTTAGATAGTACTCCAGAAGACGAGTTCAATGATATATAATAACATGGGTCTGAGATCACTCGTTTCGGATTTATACACGATCTTCTTCAATAAATTGTCTAATTTCAAAGCCCTATAGAAACGTTGTGAATGAAGTTTTCGCGAGTTTTCGTTTCGCAACTTTTGCTATAAATTAACAAAGTCTGTATATTATTTTGTTCTATGGTGAAAATTTAGGAATTTCGAATTTGCCAAAAGTGATGACGTATTTTGAAAACCAATAAATATCTCGAGATTTTCAAATGGAACACCCTATATTTTATTCCATATTTGCATAGAACTCAGAAAGACGAGTTCAATGATCTATAATAACATGGGTCTGAGATCACCCGTTTCGGACTTATACACGATCTTCTTTAATGAATAGTCAAACAAAAAAACTAACAGTAACTGAGAAAACGAGTAAACATAACAACAGTAACAATTAGATATAGTATTCAATTGAATATACAAAGTAGTCAAATCAAATTTTCTATATACCGTCCATTTTCAGCTATGCACGTAGTATATCTTATCGCGATATGTCTCAGTGTATTTGCTACTGCAGGTGATTCATTCAAATTCACGATTGCGACTCGTATATTTTCTTTTAATTGTTCTATGTTGTCACATCGATTTTCATAAACTTTGTTTTTCAAAGCACCCCATAAGAAAAAATCTAAAGAAAATGATCATAAAAATTTCTATAATATTCGTTGTTTTCAAAACTCTTCATTACGAATTGTTTCACAGAAATTACAAAATTTTCATCTAATATGAAGATAACAGTCAGAATTTTGCCATTGAAATTTGATTATTTTTTCAAGAAGATCGTGTATAAGTCCGAAACGGGTGATCTCAGACCCATATTATGATATATCATTGAACTCGTCATTCTGAGCTTCATCCAAAGATGGAATGAAATAGGGTGGTGTTCCATTCGAAAATTTGTAAAAAATTATCGTTTTTCAAAATACATCATCACTTTTGGCCAATGCGAAATTCATAAACTTTTACCATGGATCAAGAAAACATACAAAATTTGTTAATTCATAGCGGGAACTGCGAATCGAAAACTTCATTCACAACGTTTCTATAGGGCTTTGAAATTGGGCAATTTATTGAAGAAGATCGTGTATAAGTCCGAAACGGGTGATATCAGACACATGTTATGATATATCATTGAACTCGTCTTCCTGAGCTCTATGCAAATTTGGAATGGAATATAGGGTGTTCCATTTGAAAATCTCGAGATATTTATTGGTTTTCAAAATACGTCATCACTTTTGGCAAATTGAAAATTCCTAAATTTTCACCATAGAACAGAATAATATACAGACTTTGTTAATTTATAGCGGAAACTGCGAATCGAAAACTTCATTCGCAACGTTTCTATAGGGCTTCGAAATTTGGCAATTTATTGAAGAAGATCGTGTACAAATCCGAAACGGGTGATCTCAGACCCATGTTATTATTTATCATTGAACTCGTCTTCTGAAGTACTATCTAAAAATATGATAAAATATAGGGTATTCTATTTGAAAAAACGTATGTGTGATAAGTCACAGACATATGGACCATCCTGTATAAATGAAAGTATCTAAAAAATAAATTTTATAAGAAGTAATACAACTTTTATTCTGAACTTTTTTCTGTATATATAATAGTTTACCAGATAAGGGGGTGGCCCATGTTATGTGGGATACCCTGTACCTCTATACCAATATGAAGTTCATTATTTCTAGTGATTTTTATAACATCATAAATTCAGGGATTTTGTCTAGAATAATTGTGTTTTTCTTTCCACAAATTGGGTAATTGAGAACCTTATGAAGGGTGTTTCGATATAATGGTAGAGATTATATTTGACCAAGACTACAAATAGACGGTGAATACCCTATACCGGGTCCAACGATATCATTGGACAGGGCGTCATTCAGTTGTTTTCCATGTTAGACTTTCGATATTTGGATCGAGGATAAAGTGTCCAGGAAAAAAATTGAATATCACTACCGGTTTCATCGAAAACTTACCTTGGTCGAGAATATCAAATGAAACCCTCTACAAAAGGGCATTTGTTTTCAAAATAGCGGCGCAGGAGACATTTTTTCTAAAATCAATATGGCGACACTAGGGACATCATCGATCGAATTTTCGTGAAGAAACCTAATGAAAT